CATACACGTTCTCGCACACACAAATGTGTACTGTGTGTGAGAACATGTATGAAATTACGCGGAGAGAATGGACTACTGCAGCATAATTTAGTACTGTTTGGATTGTAAGTTATTTGAGATTATTTGGGATATTTTTACTGTAGCACTTTTTGTGATGTGATGTATGTGAGATAAAAAGATATTGGGAAGATAAAAATGTGTATTGGAAATTGTAAAGATGATGTAAGTAAATAAAATTGGGGAAATATGAAGCAATCCAAACAAACCAGATCCATAGTTCAGCAGGGATGGAAGATTTTCACGACCTACCAAGTTTGGTTAGAAATTTTTTGACTAATGATGTAATTGGGATTACAAATTAGAGGTCAGTTGCTTAGTGAAGAGCTTTTCGGCCTTCTATAGGGCCTGAGCATGGTGATACCTGAGTTTTCTTTTAACGGGTGATTATTAGACACCATTAGACTCACTATATATATATATATATATATATATTTTTTTTTTTCCAAACGATATAAAATATATTTATATATTTTAGACTCACCATTAGACTCACTATATATAAAATATATTTATATATTACTAAACTTTTTTTTTTGCGAGGATATTTGTTTGATAGCATACGGAAAATTAATTACTCCCGATAGTATCAATAATTACTCATTCATATACTTGGATAAATCACAAGCTGCAAGATGTTTTAGCATAAACCACATATAACTCTTGAAGTATAAAATCCATCCCTAATATTTCACATTTTGTTTTTTGGGGTCATAATCACATGTGGAGTGCAAAATTTTGTTAAATGACGAGTTTAGAGTTGAATTAGGAACCAACACCATTTATAAAAATACGTTTAGAATTATATATGTAATCTAAAATTAATTACACACCTATATCTATATAAATTTGAGAAGGAATTTTTAGCAACAAGCCTCCACGCATCTTCCCACTATCAATTTTATTTTTCTAGCATTTCATATTTAATTTAATTTATAAAATATATTCCTCTCAACTTCCACATATACTCTTTACATTTGAAATTGTTGGTTATTTTTTAAAATCATTTCATTTTAAATTATTGGTTAATATGTATGTTATCCTATTTGAACTTCAACCCATCACGTTTCCGATTGCCTTGCGTTGTTTATGATTCTACAACAATTAAAACTTCTATAAGACCATAAGAAGATATAACAAATATAACATTCTTTCATGCTTTCTTATTAATTTAAATAAGTAAGATTATTTATACTCTATTTTTGTTATTCACGCTTCGATAATCATTTTGATCATATAATTTTCATTAATTAGACTATATGATAAAACAAATGGTGGAATTGTAAATAATAAAAAATTGAGTGCAAATAACATTTTCTTAAGTAAGAAGTGGCTCCCATGCCTTTCTAATTTAAAAAAGTAGTGGCTCCACTTATATAGGAATTTGGTTTGAAATTTATTAATGGGACGGTAAATAAAAAGAAAACATTGCCAAACTTAGTAAAAGTAAAAAAGTAAATGATAATATTTTATCTTTAAGCTTAGTAATCCTAAGTAAAAGGGCAAAATTAAATAGAAAACAAAAAGGAAATAATGTCGTGAATTTTAAAAAATCAAGAATGGTACCATTCATGAAATCCAAATTATGAAATCACTAAATAAAAAACAAAGTACTTTTGAAATATTAATTTTTGATAAAAAATAATGATAATAACAACACCAATTCTACCAAAAATTTTTAAAAAGTAATATTATAGTTTAAGAGAAAGATATAGAATATTCAACCCTAAAATACTACTTAATTTGTATATATCTGGCCCAAATTTGACATTAGATTTGAATAAGAATGCAAAACCCAAACACTAATGATAACTTTTGGTATCATTAATTATTTTATATATTCTTATTGCTGTCTTCATATATAAATATGTATTTGCTATGTTAAAATATATATATATATATTTATATATATATGAATTGATTGTAGTACTTGAGGATATTATAGATATTATTAGTTTTTCATTTTCATTTTTAGATGCTAATAATTGCAACCATTGTAATTAATTTTTAATTTTATATTTTCATTATGATAGGTAAAGTTAAATATATTGGGTCGCAGGGATATGAATTTAGAGGTTAGGTATAGGAGGAGGAGAGAGGGAAGAAAATGGTGAGGTGTTGAAAAGTAGCAGGAAAGTTTGAAAAAGAAATATGGATTAAAAGGGTGGGCGGAGAAGGGAGAGAAGAAGAAAAGAGATTGCAAAGATACGACAGAAATGACAAAAAAAAAAAATATAGAGAATGTGGTACCATGATAGAAGATATGAAAGTTGTAGGAGGCATCTAATGACTAACTAGCATATAAGAGAAGAGAGAAACGATGGTGATTTTTAATAATTTTGAGAATTCTAAAAACACATATTATGGAGAATTTTTTTTTTTAAATTTACCTTAAAGTTTATGAAAAATGCTAATCTAAATACAATCAACAATTTTAGGGGCACAAGATAAGAGAAAGATTTTTTTTTTTCTAAAAATGGAAGAAAATAAATTGGTTATAATTTATTTTTTTATATTATAAGTTTTGATATATGGGTATAACATAATATGTTTTATCGGATATTGATAAATTGACTTTTTTTTAGAAAACTCTTCTAACCTTATCATCCAATCTAATCCTCTTCTTAAATGCGTTAACAATTCTTTTATCATGTAAATCACTATAGATTAATTTTTTTTTGAGATATTAAGCATACACTTCTTTAAAAATTTTAATTTATATATATATTTATTATTTTGTACCACAATATATAAATATATAAAATATTATTTTGATTTTGAAATATAGCCCCGTGCACAGCACGGGTCAAAATACTAGTGGTAAAGAAATTTAGCATTACTCAAACTCAACTTAAATCGAAGATGGAAAAGAAATGAATTGAATCGCCTACACTAAGAAACAAAGAAAAAAAAAAAAAAAAGGCCTTAGTTTGGTGAGAGTAACACTTTGTGACAAATCTGATAATATCTGTTCCAGCAACCTACAGGCCCAACACCAGAACTTCGTTCTCTTGGCCACATATATATTTTTGAGCGAATTGCGCGAAATGTCACTAAACTATTTCAAAGTGCCGGTTCTGGTCATTAAACTTTTTTATTAGCGCGAAATGTCACTGAACTAGTAAATTTATACCGTTTTGGTCACTCCGTGTATTTGTGCCGTTAGGAGAGACGGAAATCAACTTTTTGAGGGGTAATTTCGTCTACACAATAGTTAAAAAATTTATGCCCTCATTCTTCTTCACCCACAACCATAGTGCTATACCATATTTACATTCCCAGCCTTCCCGTACGCATCAATCATCACAGAATAGGTAACCTCATCCGGTTCACACCCAAAAGACGGCATTTTTTCGAACCACTGGACGGCTTTCTCAGGTAAAGAAGACAGCCTGGCGCAGCTAATTATGGTGGAAAGGAGGAGTATTGGACCAGCAATCAAAGAATCAAGAGATGAATTCGCTGAAGAAGGGTTCTTTTCGTCCTCTGGGGCTGCTGCTTGGCCTTGTACCTGTCCCATATCTCATCGAGATTGGATGCTACGGAGATGAAGTAAGAGGAAAAGGCAATAGCAGCAACCAAAAAATTGGGATGGACGAGAATTTTGAAGTTGGAGTTGGGGTTGGGTGCTATCTGCAACCCATGTAAAGTTGTGGAGTGATTTGCAATTAATCTGTTAAATGTTATTGTACCAACTGCCAACAGAATTGGAATGGACATCAAAGTCTAGTGTAGGCCGACGACGGACGGAGCTCTCTATGCCCACCCACTTCTGCAACAAAACCACCGAACTTTACATTTAATTTCTCATTCTTTTCACTCTTTCCGCATCGTCATTTTCGCCACTCCCAACCCCAGAGGTATGTAAAGGTGACATTATCGGGCTTAACTCCTCTCTCAATCATATCCGTAAACAATTTCTCGGCTCTGTCCAAGTCTCTACATTTTCTAAACACCTTGAAGGTAACATTATACAAAATCACTTCTTTCTTCAACTTAAGCCTTTCCAGAAAGTAACTCAGCACCAAAGGCGCAGTTTCAGAGTTGGACATGTTATTGAGCACAACGGCAGCATCTTGCTCTACAACTTTGCCACCCAAATTAGCCAAAATACTAATAACGTCAGCTTCTACAGGGTCACACGAGTCCAATTGTTGGGAAGCTTGGACTAAAGAAGCATACCTGAAATCGTAGGAATTGCGCCTGAGCTTTGATGCCCTGGAGCTGTTGGGGTTGACCCAGATATAGCTTTTTGAGGAAGAAGAGATGGTTTTAGCATCTGGGCGGTGAGGAATTTGGGAAATTGAGGGGGATTGTTGTTGGGAAGCCGGTATAGAGAGGGAAGGTTTTGGATGGGGCTTGAGAGGAGGAAAAGCGAGGGCGTTATGGGGGATGATTCTGAGTTGGTGGAGGTGAGTGGGATAAAGAGAGTTACAGAAGAGGTGTGGGTGGCGAGAGAGATGAGAGGGCGAATAGGCGGCGGCCACCATTCTTCTCTCTACTCTTCTTCCTTCCTTCTCAGTCGTCACTCACTCAGCAGAGCAGTCAGCAGCATTTGAATTTTCTTCTTTTTTACAACTATGAAAAATTTCGCCTGCATTTTTTGGTTGAAGTTTGATGGTGCCGCCATTCAGATCAGCCATCTCCTTTATGTCTTTGCCGGATATGGAACCATTGATTATGTAAAAGCTTCAAGGAAAAGGCTGTGCAGACAAATTTACCCCTCAAAAAGTTGATTTCCGTCTCTCCTAACGGCACAAATAAACGGAGTGACCAAAACGGTATAGATTTACTAGTTCAGTGACATTTCGCGCTAATAAAAAAATTTAGTGACCAGAACCGGCACTTTGAAATAGTTTAGTGACATTTCGCGCAATTCGCTCTATATTTTTTGTTCTCTTGGTCACACTCGGGACTCTCTTTACGCTCTGATTTCTGATCTGCTGAGTGTCTCTGATGTGTATCCTCATCATTCCTGAAAACCGAATTCTCCCCTCCAACACAAAACACAATACAAAACCCTAGCTTTCATTAATCTAATACCACCCATCCCATCTTGGGCTACTTACTTATTAATCAGTATAATAATTAGTATTATTAATAATAGTTAAATCGAGTCTGCACTCTGCTCACTCTTCCGTTAATTAAATTAATTAATTAGATCAATTATTATTTCAACAATTTTTAATTTAATTGGTTCAACCACATCTATTCTTTCAGATTGTACCTAGAAATACTGTCAGTTTGCTCCTTCAAAACCCTACCCTCCTCTCCCATCTAATCATCTGGTTGGTTTCAGATTCTTTCAAGTCAGAATTGAGTGCCCAATTATTGCGATTTATTTTGAAGCTTGCCTTTTTCACCATGAGAGAAAGGAAATCGGCCAAGTTTAATTTGCAAGAGCAGCAGCAGCAGAACGGTCACTTGTCTCCTTTTAAATTCGCCAAGTTGTTCGATCCGGATGCTTCTTGGGACAAGGTTCTAAGCTGATTCGTCTTCTACGTTTTCTCTATGGTTCAATTCTCATTCTTTTGATGTAAATATTCAGTTTTTTATTATATATATATATAATACTTATTATGTTCGACATAGGAATTTATGTTTTTTTTTTGTTTAATTTAATTGCTCGTTTTAAGTCAAAATCTCGATTGAGTCTGTTTATGAATAAAGGATAGTCCTTTCGTCTTTGTAATTCATGGATTTGTATTCGTTTTAGCTCAATGCGTCTGGTCTTATTCCACCTTTCTGGATCAGATTGTGCCTGAAATTGGTAAACGAGCGGAAAGGAGATCATGATTGTCCTTCCCTTCCTGCTTTGTTGTATTGTCAGACGTTAGACTGATACAAGGAGTAAGCTTTTTGATTGCCTCATTTTCGCGGCCGAATTCAATAGAGTTTTACGCTATAAAGCATATAGAGGGGAAATTGATTTAGTTACAAAGTTGTAAATGTTGGCTGAAGCAAGACTATGACTATATATGTTTACGTAAAATGTATGTCTGGCCGTCTCGGTTGAGTTGGCAAGGATATTGACTTTGATATGAGAGCTGCCGGGTTTGAAACCCCCTAGTTGTATAAAAATGATAGTTTTTGATGTATGCGACTGGCGTGCGTGCTATATAGGTCATAACAATGGTACTTCATGTAATGAGAGTCTGTGTTAGAGGGTGATATTTGCTAATCATCATGCCCTGCAATGACTGGCACGATAAATACCCAAAACAACTGGAAGCTTCCATGAAGGTGTAGCCAAATGGTGATTTTTTTTTTTTTTTGACAAAAATGCCAAAGACATTTAAGCTGCAACAGAAAGTTGGCTAGTTGTCAATAATTATCACCTGGATAGGACAGAAAGAAAACTGCACTTGATAGTAAAAACCAGGAGCTTTTAATCCTTTAAAACTATTTCACTATGTATTGTATTGCTTCATCCTGTTTTATAATCAAAAACCAGATACTCATCTTCTTTTTCACTGATATTCTCCTGGATATGTGACTATAAAAACTTCAATACCTATAAACACTTGTGTTTTTATTCTTTTTCTTCTTCTTCTTTTTTTTTTTTATTTTTTTAAAATTTCCCAACCAATCAAGATTACTCACTTGTCAGCTGTTTTTACTTATTAAACTGAAGAAAACTGGAAGTGTGAATTCTTAATAGAAATAGACAAGAAACTGGTAAGCCTTTAGATCCCATAGCTATGGCATTTTTTGTGGCATCATGAGGATGCAGAGTTTGAGTGTATTTATACTGTGCCAATGAGAATTGCAAGCAGTAGAAACAGCAAGTTAAGTTTTCAGATATATAATGTCATCATTGGGATAAAACAAATGCATGCATGTTTATGCCATACAAACACATATTTGTAGGCAAGTGGATAGAGTTCCAAAGCATGTCAATATGGAAAAATTTCTTAAACAGGAAATAAATCTGTTGCCTACACCTCATGAATTGTAATGTATTATGTATACCCTGGTTTTAGTATGCGAAAGCTTGTAATAGAATTCTCCTATATAACCATGTCCTATGGGGATTTCTGGATGATTAATTCCACCTGTCGGATTCCTCTTATCATTCAATGGAGTAAGCAGTCTGCATAGTTACGGCATCCCCTCTGCCCACCTGTGATTCTCATGGAAGCATGTAGTTTAGCAATTTTCAGATCTATATAGAAAAGTAAAAATTAAATAGACATCACAATATGCACTTCTTCTACCCTATGAATAATGATAATGTGAGATCATCCATTTACTTTTTTTGTGAAATATGGAACTTATGTTTTCCATTTTGAGAGTAATGTTAGCTGTTAATTGGTTTTGATTTACACTCAATTATCACTGTTATGAAGTGAATATTTCTCATGTCTCGTTTTAGGATCAACTTGGAGATGTATTGCACTGGATTCGCCAAGTGGTGGCCTTGGTCTGTGGACTATTATGGGGTGCCATTCCTTTAGTTGGGGGTATATGGATAATTTTGTAAGTTAATTTTTCCTTTTTGTTGCTGAAGATGTTTTGATGGATCTGATTTTGAATCCACAGTGCTGTCATGTTAATTTTAAGTTGGGACTTGCAGTGTCAAATCTGGTCCTCCCTACACCTCCTTGCTCCTTCCACCCCCCCACCCCTTTTTGAAGTTTTTTGCTGAAAGTAGTAGCAAACTTGTTTTGGTGGAATTATTTCTAGGCAGTATTTTGTGCCTTGACAGTTCAATTTGGTTTTTTTTTCCTTTTTTTTTTAAGTATTGCTTTAAAAAGGAGGTGGATTTTCCTTTTAGCTGCAACATTTGGATATGTAGGTTAAACTTCTGCCAGACAAAGGGTACAAAAGCAAGGAGCAACCAAAATTGAAAAAAGCAACTTTTTGAAAATTGAGTTGGCTAGAGAGATAAAACTTCTATTTCACGTGACAGAGCTTAATGGGTGTTGGAGGCTGTCTAACAAATTGGACTTATATACCATAGAAGGGGAGAATTAAAAGTTCATAGGGATTTTATGCAATTGACTGTTAGTTTGATGAATTTACTCTTTTGACAATTATGCATGTGGTTGGTCTGGATTATGTAAGAAAATGGTAATATACTGGGGTGAAGAAAACCAGGTTTACACAAATATGAGAAGCTTAGACTCGGACTGCTTGTGTAGTTTGTTAGCATAAAAATCCAGCCACAGAATATAGCTTGCAAAATCTCCTCGAAGATAAATATTTTGATTTGGTATTTGGTTTATATGATTAATTCAACGTGCAAAATTTTGTACCATATTTAAAATGGATAATAAAACCGTCTTGTTACTTGAAATTTTAATGATTTTTCTGGATGAATGGAGCTGGGCCTGGCACATTCAAAATTAAAGTCGAACAAGAGAAAATGCAGACTATTATAAATGAACCATTCAATTGCTCTTGAAAGCATAGTGAAAATTCTGGTGGTTGAACTTTTCCATCTCATGTTTTCAGTAACTGTTTCATTGCTGTGTGTAAAGGGTCTAGTGATGAATATGGTGTTGACTGTGGTTTCCAGGTTCCTCGTGTTATCTTCTGGGATAGTTTATGGTTATTATGCTGTCATACTAAAGGTTGATGAAGAGGAATTTGGTGGCCATGCAGCTCTTCTCCAGGAGGGGCTATTCGCTTCTTTCTCACTCTTTCTGGTATTTTATAGTTCCTTCAACCCAGCATATTTTATATCTCTTTCTTTTGTGCTTTCATACTTATCATGGGGTAACCCAATTATTCACTGCTGTGTTAACTGTTATTTTTCCTGTTTCCAGCTAGCGTGGACTCTGGTATACAGTTTAGCACATTTCTGATCACCATATTCTTAGCTGTGGCACCATTTTTCTCACTGGAGGGCCTGGTACAGAAGCCATCATCAGATGTATGATTTCTGGTTTCTGATGGCCTGAAATTGACATTCTTGGTGGTTCTATTGCCTATTTCTTAGTTGTATTATTAGTCAGTGAGCTACACACTAGTTTCTAGTTCACAAGAATCGTCCCAATGAGATATTTGCGCATTTTTGTGCTGTGCCTGATAATTTGCTCTGCAAATCAAATAATTACTTTAATTCTTTTATACTTTTTCTTTTGCTTCTGTAATTAGAAGCGGGTAAGTGACAGTAACAAATTCTGTATGTGCGCTGTGCTCCAATATTTCGATTATAAATCAAGGGAATTGAAGATGCTAGAGTGAGTTAATGCTGTTCGGGTACAACCTTGTCGTTCTTCTTGTGTACTTGTTGGTTCTAAGGCGTTGCATGAGATAAAAAGCAAACTTTTTCCTTTCAAACGCTGGTAGTGTTATAAACACTTGATATCACAAGTTTAACTACAAAAGAGGGCAACTGCCATTATATCTACCTGTGCCGCTTCACAGAGCCACAGGGGGGAAGACAATTCCCACTTGACATCATTTACAACTTTTGCCGCAAACTGAGCTAGTTTGTGGTTGACTCTGTACCCTGATCTACTGATGAAGGAGAAAGTGCATTGATTAAACAAATCTCCCATGTCCGGTATGTCTTCTAAGATGGTAGCTATACTGCTCTACCCACAGGTTCTGGAGTTGATCATATCAATGGCATTTTAGCAATCTGATTGAATCTGTACGTCTCCCCACTCAGCTCCCTTGGCCATGATTAGAGTTCGTCTAACGGCTTCTGTTTCTGCCACTAAAGCTGTAGCTTTTGTCAGCCTGAGCATTCCTCATGCCTGCAGTATCTTCCCTGTTCAATCTCTTGCCATTATTCTCAATCCGGTGCGGATCATTTGAGCTGAGACAGCAGCATCTGAATTCATTCTGATCACGCCTTCAGGGGGTGTTTCCCATACTTGCAGTGGCTGAGGCTGAGGCTGATTTGTTTCACCAATGCACTTATCCTTCAATTCATTCCCTGCATCCTCAAACTCCCACCATTTTTGCAGTGCTTCTGTACAACTTTCCACTCGTTGTTCCTTCAAATTGTCGTCTATTTCTAGCTTTCCATATTTGCCCCATGACATTGATTGTCAGGGCAATATGGTCTTGGCATTGGTCTCTTGCCGATGCTTGCAACATTCCTTCCTACCATCTGATCAAGTTTAACCTTACTATTTTGACCTTTTGCTCTACTTTATATGTATACCCAAAAAAAATAAAAAATGGTGCCTGCACCATTCAAATCAAACATCTTGCCCATGCATATACTACTCAGTGTGCGCAACCTACTAAACTTGAAAGGTGATTCCAGTGTGTCAATTTTTTTTTTCCGCACGGGGGAGATTCTCTACTGAGAATAGGATAAAACATTGTATTGAGAATATGACAAAACCGAGACACACTTGGCAAGGTGCGACCGGACTGCATGAACCCCTTTGAATTGCTTTGAATTCCTAATAATCCCACATAAACGTACTTCAAACGCTAGCGATTCAAGCAAGTCTCTAAGACGACATACATGGCTATTCTCCTGAACGCAAACAGGGTGGGGTGCAACACAAGATTGTTCTTTCCAGAATATAAAAGCTTCTCTTTACTATGCAATTCAACTATGTTTACATGACATGGTGTTACATGACATGGTGTTGTCTCTATATTAGCACAAACCCGTGGCCAAGTCCTCTAATTGCCGATATGGGGAAAAAATTAGTTTACAAGGCTATCCATCTATCTTTGACATGCACCTTTACGTCCACTTGTGTCGTCTGCCTCTCCGCCGAATCAAGTAAACCCGGCCATAAACCCACCGCCTATCTGCTCTTGAGATGGATTGCTGCAATAGAACATGAGCAGATTTTAGTGCTTCAAGAAACTTAAGTTCGAAATGCAGTCTTTCTTCAAGTGGTGTTTAATGGAATATAAGAACTACTGCTGCATTTTTAGGCTGAGGACAAATGGCTTTTTCTTTAATATTCCTAGTTGCGAACAAAAGAACATAAACCTATGACTTTTCTGATCAGGGTGTGGGAGGTGGGGTGAGGGCACTTATGGAATTTGCAGCATGATTCTGTAGAACATCCTGTTAATCCCAAACTATTTGTACCTCAACCCTTGTGCGGAATTCTATGAAGCTCTCACACACATGGCATTCTGATCTGTGGCGGGAAAGCTTGGACTGATCAGATCTAACAAATGCAAAAACCTGTAAAGATGAATGCGATTACAGCTCTAAAAGCAATATTTGATGGTTGTACAGTCCAGTCATCAGACCGAAAAATCCACGCCAACAACTGAATGAGAAAGCAATGTGCAAAAGGGTTCACCATGTTTACTTTATACTGACCTCCTCACCACAATTTGGGCAAACCCCTTTTAGCGCGACCAAGTCATTCTTCCAAATCCCTTGCAATGCTCCAACTGCAATAAGGTTTTAAGTTACAAAACATTTGGGGAATAACAAGACAGAAACAAGTGTATATCTGTTCTTCTGCTTCCTTTAATGATACATCAAGAGAGTTAAAAACAAAAATAAGATTCTCCCACAAGCACAAAGAATTGGACAGCAGGAGCAAACAGTATTAATTACCACATATGCCTGATAAGATGACAGAAAAAGAAATGAAAAATATAAAGCACATTCAATAAGTTATAATAAACAAAGATTATGTAGTCTCATATCCCAGATATGAACAACCAATACATTATTTTTTTTAGATTGCCTTCAACTCCATTCTTAACTAATGAATATCAAATTCCATGCATATCCAAATAACCACACAATTCATGTTTAAGGAAGTAAATTATGATCTGCCTTACATCATTACAGGAAATTATTTTATTCAACCAGATCTTAGGATATCAAAAGCAAAAAAGTTTTGAAGCCCAATATTACTAAAACCAAATCATGTTTGACAAGCCAAAATATCAGATCATTAAATTCAGATATATCTACATTGCTTGTTATGCAAATAGTCTCACGTTCTTAATAACTCTGTCTCAATAAACCAAAATTATAGCAGCCAACAATTTCTATTATCTTTAAAAAAATAAAAAAGAAAAAAGAAAACTCTGAAGTGCTTTACATCTTTTTCTCATGTCAGGATACAGAATGTATAAAACCAAGAAAGTTGCTTGAATGTTTTCAGTCCAAATCTCCCATTCCAGCCGATTAAAACCCATAGTAAAAAGAGTTTCTGCCATATGACAATTTGGAAAAGCAAGACTTGAATGGAGGAGAGAGTCATTAATAGGAAGAGAAATAGTTCAAGGAAGTAAAGAAACAAAATACAATTTTTGTTTTAAACACGATTAATACCACAGAACTGAACAAATGTCACACAAGGTACGAGACTTAATGCATAGTAGACTAAAGCAAGCACACTCAGGCACATAACTTGACAGTTCACCAAACAAGGGTTTAATGTACTACATCCATTCCTAAATTTCAACAAAATGCAACCATATGCATAGCTCATACAGAAGTCTCAAGCGTAATAAACCAGACAAAGAAGTCCAGCGAGCATAAAGAACCAATGACACCAAACTGATTACCTGATGCTGAAGCAATTGGAACACCTATTATGGATCCCAATGCCATGTACATCATGCCATTAAGTATAGTAAGGAACTGTAGCATAGAAGCTTGACTGGTGTGTGAAGTTGCAGAGTGAAATGCATCTTGATGATAAGCTTGACCAAGGGTGTATATAACAGGAAGCAGAAAGACTGAACCACCAAAACCAAGAATCAAAAGCCATATGCTCGCTAATGCAAACGCCTGTGAAGGATCTTCCTGCCCTACATCCATGTCAAATATTCAAGGGAAGCGAAGAAGCACAATTCCACTCAAGGACCAACATCTTACAACTTATATTCAGCAACAATAGTCTGCTTGTACAAACCCTTGCTAGACCCAAACCCACCCCACGCATAGAATAAAATATCAAATCAAAGAGACAACATCTTGTTTAGTTTAGTATTATTAAGCAACTTAAACTACAGAGCAAACTAAGATTTCCCAAGAACTTGGATGTGGTAAATCAGGATTTGCTGTTTGTAGTTAAGATGCATCACAAATCATACACACATGAATGACGACGCTTGAGAGCGTGAAAATAATTTACTGAATAGAGTTCGCATACTCTTAATTCTACATTAGTGGAGCAGCTGACAAAAGTTTTATTCAGACAATTCTCAAGACACCTTTTTTAAACTTACAAGTAAAAAAATGCGTTCGACTCAAACGAATTTCCATTATTTCCACAAACACAAAAACATAATGCCTTAGCCCATGAACTCGAATTATTTTTATTTAAAAAATTACCTCAGCGTCAGCATAGGTTGATTGCCGCCTAAGACTACACCTCGGATACTTCACTACATATTTCGAACCATACCACCGCAACTTCAGCTGTTTCAGCAGTCATATATTTCCAAATCAGAACACATAATCTAATCCACACAATTCAAGTTTTTTTTTTTTTCAAAAAGGAAAATACATAGGTAGAGGGAGAGGTACCTCAACTCTATCAAACATGTCATCTACAATCAACGGCGTACCATTATAATATGAATCCCTAGCCTAAAAGTAACCAAAAAATTAGAGATCAAATTATTCGCGGAAATTGGAAGTAATGGAGTAAAATGAGAAAAAAAAAAGTTACTAACTTCCAAAACCTACTTGACAATAGAGAGCTTCTAGGGTTTCTTTACTGGCAGTTTCAATCGGACCGACGAATATACACGACGGACCGTCGGCGAGGGGCAGGAGGTCATCAGGCGAGGCGAAGACGGATCTCCGAGCTGAATACCGGACGGATGACGGAGCTCCGACACGCGAATTTCTGGTAAGTTCAATAGCCGTCGATGATACTATCACGTGAGGCTTGACCGGTGAGCACGTGCCGGCCATCAGCCAACACTCAGAAGCCAATGATAAGCTGCAAATGGAAACCGAAATGTTTTTATGAGCGTGGATATAACTAGTGGCTATTATAAGTGGAGTGGGGAAGGTGCCTTGTTTTTATAGACTGGACAATATGACAATTATGCCCATGGAGGTTGTGGTTTGATTTCGCGCGCAAATATCTGATTTTTGTGGAACGGATATTGTCGGGCCGGAATGGGAAAGCTTACAGCACCGTATCTTGATTCTGAATATAAATTTTTTACGTGAAACGGTAGAAGATTTTATTAATAGTAAAAGTACAATATACAGTATATACTTAATGAGTAAGGGCTCAACCACTGAGCTTTGGCTCAGAGCCATAAAAAAGGGATTAAATCATTCTTTGTGTTGTAGGTCAGGAGTTTGAATTCTATCTGTAGGGAAAAAAATAATGAGTAAGGACTCGATATAAGTTATACAAAAATGTATTAAAATACCTAAAATTTAGGAATTCCTTGTCAAAAGCTATATTAGCCTCTTTGGCTCCTCCTTAAATAATGAGTAAGGATTTGATATGAGCTGTACAAAAGTGCACTAAGATACCTAGAATTTAAAAATTCCTCATCAAAAGCTATATTTTGAACAAGTTTGCTCAATCTTTTACTTAATCTATTATGTTTAATATATGAACAATCAAATAAACATTTCCTAAACATTGAGCAAATCTCTGATGTCCTGCAGGTGTGTAGAAATTTTGATGTCAATTGAGGATGGTTCTTTGATTAGGCTTGGGACTTGATTGCAAGATGTGTGGACTTTAAAACTCTCCCACCCTTGTTCCTTCACGTTACTCAAGGCCAATTTAAAGGCCTGCAGGTAGTCTAGAATCATAGAACTAGTACTTATTTCCCTCTATTTCCATGCTGCTTGCAACTGATTCTGGTTATTTTCAGCAGAAACCCTAATTCCCATATTTTGACCTTCCTTGTGTTATCCTACTTCCACACCTATTTTCAGTATATTTTCTTCTTCTACATACCTTTGTTCTTGTCCAAAAGTTGCTTCTATTTCTGAAATGCTCACCTGTGTGTTGAGTTTGGCATAGCATATCCACTGTTTTATGCCATTCTTTCTTCTCTTTGCTTTTGACGGTCTTGTCCACCAACTCTTGAATTTTTTGTGTAGTCATATAATCCAAGAGTTGGGTAGATAAGTCTCTGGGACTGTCTCAAGAGTTGGCCGGCTTTTGAGGTTAGTTCTGGGATTAGATTTATTTAATCAGCAAAAGTCAATTGACAAAACTGATAAAAAAAATATAATCCATCCCGTTGAAGGGGGGTCATTTTCCATATATCTCCTGCCTTTCTGCATTGAAGGAAAAAATGATCCAATGAAAACAATGAGTTTGTTTGGATAAGAGTTTATTTGAATGATTTATTTGAGATAATTGCTGCAACACTTTTTGTGATGTGATGTATTTGAGATAAAAAGATAATTGAAAAGATAAAATAGTAATTAAAATTTATGAAGCAAATTATCTCAATCCAAACACACTCATTGGTTGCGGAAATTGTGAAAAGGACCAAACCAAATGTGGGATGCGTCTGCCGGGGGTCGAACCGGGTCTATTGCTTGGAAGGCAATTATCCTAACCGTTGGACTACAAACGCCGGTGATATTTATTAGGGCACAATCTATCACTAAGAAACATAGCAACACATGGTTGGTTGGCGGAATGAATCAAAGTGAACAAGAAATGTTTAATGACACACGCTTCAAGCGAGTGTTTGTTGCGCTGAAATTAACAAAACTCAAAATATAAGCAGTTCATGGGATAATATGGGATGTCGGGAAGAAAGCATAGGATACGAGCACTCTACAACAATCATCCCAAAAGTTAACAGTAACACAATCCAGAAAAACTCAGTGAAGAACTTGCACCTGTTAAAGCTACATCGATATCTCTACTAAAACTACCAAAAAGAAAAACTAACAACCACCATATCAAATTTAAGTCACAAAGAATAGTAGAATGCTAACTCTCATTTTCTTCCTATCTAATCCTGTTTCTAAATCCAAGGACAAATTAGTAGTACTTCGATCTGTCAGCTCTTAAAAAGAAATGATCCCATTCATGCTTATCAACTTTTCCGAAGGTAAAATACTTCCAACTGTCTTCTTCGTCATAACTCAGACTAGCATTCTTCCCCTCCTCCATCTCTTGCCTCAATGATTCTAGCCTCTCAAGAACTCCTTTTACCGTTAAATCAAATGCATCTTCAAACTTTTGCCATCTGGACCTTGGATCTGCGTACGTTACATTGGGAATAAGCTTTATCACCTCCTCCCTCATTGCTGACACCCGTGACTTGGAAATTTGAGACAGTTTCTTTTCAATGCTTACGCGCCTGTTTTTCACATCATCTTCGGGTATGAGCACCGAATACTTGTTGAAATCTCTAGGCAAATGCCACAGGTACTGCACATAACCAGAAGCTGGAGTGAAAAAGACCGGTATGCAGCCGGCCAAAATCGAATCAAAAGTTGATCTCCTGGTAAATGAATCCCCTGGAGGCTGTAGGCAGAAGACCGAGTTTTGAAACATCTTCATAATGTGAACTGGCTTTTGGCATTTGTTTCTCTGGTCGGAGCATTCCATCAAACAGCACCTTCGGTTGGATGATTTGCACTGATTCATGACCTCACCTCGTATGGAATCTTCTATGTTTGGCCGCGGCGCCCCTGCAAAGCAAAACAAGGACTTCCTCTTCTGTTTCCTCATTCTGTTCTGCCATTGGACTATATCATTGTCAGTCCAGGGATGAAAATATGTTGGATAAGGGATCGCGAAGTCATTGCTGTTCCAAGGGCTCGATTCGATTGTTAACATGGTCATGTTCTTTGATTCAGGCAGCACCATTAACTTGTTACCCCAATGATTATCATCATCAATCCCTCTTCTAAAATCCCAAGTAATTCTGCCCGCAACCATGAAATGATCTCTGCCCCACATTACGTCCCACTCTGGTCTTTCTCTCAGCCACTTTATAAGACTCAGCGAATCAGAGTCTCTGACAGACGCATTCGAACCCCATAAATGCCGAGAAACATCGAGTCCTGCATAATACGGCACATAAACAGCGGCAGCTTCTGACGAGTCATTTGTCAAGCACTCGTACTGTTTCATTCGGTTGTGGAAAATGACTTCCAGAGAGAATTGATGAGTGTTAAACCAACCGGTTCTTGAAAAAATTTTGGCTGGATTTCCAAGTTCAGATCCAAGCCCATTATTCACAAAATACTGGCACATATCAGTCCATTTATTCAAGGATTTGCACTGCTTAAGCAAGTCATCGTTGAACCGACTCGGCAGGTCATGAACATAAATATACCGTCCTCTGCATTTATTCTGTTGTTCTTCTTTCTCTCGATTGGCATCATCTTTGAGAAAAATTGGTTCCAATTCTTTCTCAAGATCATCAACGTCTTCACTCACTTCATCCTCTGTCGACCAATCATTGAACTTTTTTTCTTTGGTACCAGCAACAGCATTTGTGGTATTCCCTGAATTATCTACTCCAAAATTCGTGGCATTCATCAAATTAGACGTAACATCCTCCTTCCCTTCATGGTTATCGGTAACACGAATAGAATTTGGATCAAGAGATTGAATAGATTTTTCGTGGGATATTGTTGCAAGTCCGGGAAGGAAAGACCAATCAAAACCATAGAGCAACAAGAACCAGAAAACGAACAAAGCACAGAAAACAAACCAAATTTTGTTGCGTAACATTGCAGTGATCGAACCATCCATCTACTTCCGCTGAATTCCTGTACAAATTTCTTGGTAAGGCCCTTCTCCAATGGCTATGGTACGTCAAACCCATCTAGATATCCATCTTCTTCCGCTGAATTCGTGTACAAATTTCTTGGTAAGGCCCTTCTCCTATGGCCATGGCACATCAAAGTCTTTAACCCAGAGGAGAGCTCATGGCCCGAAAGAAAACGCTAACAGAACACCTAGATATCGGGTTTGTAATAAGAATATACTTGGAATCAGGTCAGGGTGCGAAAATTTGCCCAAGGCCTCTCAGGAAAAACTTTGAAATGGGAAAACTTCGTTGGATAGAAAAAGAGTGAGAAAAACAGAGGGAGAGAGAGTGTGTGTGTTGAGATTGAATTAGGACCATTGAGCATTGTTAATGGTTGTCCAAATCATCAATAAGAAAAGTTGCCTAGAATCACAACGTACCAAACCTTTTAGTCTCGCTCAGTTTGTCGTTGCTGTCTCATCCAATCCAAATTGGGCAGAGAGCCTCTTCATTTACTTATTATTGGAAGACGGAAGATAAAACTCTTCCTCTCCCTTCTGCTCTGCATAATGACCAATTCTGTAATCCATGGTCCACACCTTGGTGGAAAAATATTTTAACATGTCACTGGTAAGACACTATGTAACATGTAGCTGAAATGAAGGGGAAATTGGTAAATTAAGAAAAATGTTACAAACCAAAGGCTTGGCCTGATTTCATGTTTCTCTCTCACGCACACTAAATATAGCTGAAATGAACCCATAATAGGCGACAGGGTGCCTTGTCCATTCAAATCATCCATAGTCCTTCAAACCGTTGTCTCCGAGCTCCAATGGTAATCATACAATGCAAATACTTCAGCGCCAGCTAAAAATTAAAGAAAAAAGAAGGAAATAAAAAAAAAAAACATGACTGCCTTTCATTAATAAAAAATTTGCAGCCGCCAACCAATCAACTGATCTCCTAGCTTTGACAAGGCCGGCCGGCTGCGATGGGGAGGGCTAAAACCAGCTCGTCATCGGAGTCGGACAAAGTGGAGATCAAGATCCAGCCTCGCTCTGACTTAAATCCGGCGGTTGTTATTCCACGTCCTCCTAATCACCAGCAGAACTTCCATCCACCACCTCATCGTCCTCCTCAACGGCCTCGCAGTCATCGGCTTTTCAAGAAATGGATCCCTTGGTTTGTCCCTACCATTGTTCTTGTCAACGTTGCCATCTTTGTCTACGCAATGTACCTCAATGATTGTCCCCGCAACTCTGAGAATTGCATAGGGAGGTCCCTGTTGGACCGGTTTGCTTTCCAGAGCACCAAAGAGAACCCCTTGCTCGGTCCCTCCGCTGCTACGTGAGAGAGACTTCTTTCTTGCTCCTTTTTATTTCATGCATGAGCTTTTTCTTGCATTTTTGCTTTTGTTGATTAGCCCGTCATGAATAACAGATAGCGGTGCTTATTAGCCTGTTTCCGTGGTTCATCACATGTAGTATAACTGTAGTACAATACCATTATGATTAAAATACTTTACTTGTTTGGACAATTGTAAAATCAAGGTGGTATTTTCGAGTTTCATGGAGCATGAAGGAAACATTTTGTGAATGAATTCTTTCTCAATTTCCCAACTGTTTGACGTTAGAGGGTACTCAGTTAAATGTCGAACATTAGAGGTACATACCCAATTACCAACGCTACCATCAGGGAAGCATCTAGTTATTATTATTATTATTATGATGCAGTTAAACAATGATCTAGAGAAGTTCCTTTTCTTTGTGGAGAACCTTGAAACTGTGCCGTTTTCTTGTTTGCTGATCAGACTGCTGAAACTGGGGGCTCTAGATGTCAAGAGCGTGGTTGATGGACACCAGGTGTGGCGGTTGGCCTCTTGCATGTGGCTACATGCCGGGGTGTTCCATGTTCTTGCCAATATGTTGAGTCTCATCTTTGTTGGCGTTCGGCTAGAGCAGGAGTTTGGCTTTGGTATGCCCATCCTTTGCAACTTCTTTTCTCATAGATGTCATTCTTGGAGATTGTATTTGCTGATTTTCTCAAGTTGCTTTTTTCTGTTTACAGAGCTTATGTGCACTCAACTGTTGTGATGGATTGGTTTAAAATATGTTGTATGATTCCAAAAGAATTAAGTACTAAATAGAATTCGGAAATTTTGTTTGAATACTTGTGCAAGGCTACATGTGCTATGTCATTCTTGCTTTGTCACCCTGCGTGCGTTAATCTTCTGCAGCGCGCATTGGGCTGGTGTATGTAATATCTGGAATTGGTGGAAGTTTATTGTCTTCTTTGTTTGTGAGGACAACCATCTCAGTTGGTGCCTCCGGGGCATTGTTTGGTTTACTTGGCGCCATGCTTTCTGAACTCCTCATAAATTGGACGATATACGAGAACAAGGTATCTCTGCTACATTCAACTCGGCGTGTTTTCGCTTTTTTCCCAGTGAAAGTCGTACATTTTTCATTTCAAGAAGGGACGATAGCTCACAATTTGCTGTTTTTCTTAGTGTGCAGCCCTGTCGACTCTCGTCCTCATCATCATTATCAATCTAGCAGTTGGAATCCTCCCCCATGTGGACAACTTTGCACATCTTGGAGGATTTGTGACGGGATTTTTACTTGGATTTATTCTCCTAATCCGTCCTCAGTTTGGATGGGTAAACCAAAGAAATGCTCCTCCAGGTTACTATAGCAAAAACACGTCCAAGTACAAAGCATATCAGTACATATTCTTGATCCTCGCTCTGCTACTACTCATTGCAGAGTAAGTCTCGCCATTCCTTTAATTCATGTCCAGAAATCGCATGGCTTGAGATTGCTCTTTTGTCCTATATAATGACAAAAATGTATTGTGGCATCAGTTGGAAACTCATTCTTTAATTAACAATGCTGATTAACAGGCCTTAGAGCAAAGTCATTTACTGCATATATAGAATTTGACATCTTATATTAACAAAGAGGCCAAGAGCCTTCAGAAATGTTTCACTAAATATGTTGGTGGAAAGTGTTGACTTGACATTCAAAAAAACTCTGCCATCATGGAGATTATTGAGTTTTTGCTGTTACTAGGATTCCATAAATGGAGTTGACAATTTCTGAACTCATGCAGCTTTCGCATGTTCCTTGCTAGCTCTTGCGTGGTAAGGCTAAACTTGTGTACTTTTTCAATGTTCCCGTGCTAGATTTGCCGTCGGCCTGGGCCTGCTCCTGGGAGGCGCTGATGGGAATGATCACTGTCATTGGTGTCACTATTTGAGCTGCATCCCTAGCCCTTTTTGGGCTTGCGGACCAGTCCGTTGCTCGGTAATACATATTTCTCCATTTTGTCAGTTTGAACTTTCTTCATGATCCGACTTTCTTTATCGGTTCATCTCATCCACCATGCATCAGCGTCAAATGCCTGTGTTAATTTAAGCCCACCTCTGGATATCTAATCTTGTAACCAAGCCATCGGTATTATGTTATGATATTATCTTATCTTAAGGCATCATTGCATAATACTTTGTGTGAAAGCCTCCTAGTTTGGATTTTTACATATACACTGCTCAGAATCTTTTTGGGTTAATAGTCAAATAATCTTCATTCAAATGTACCCATTCATTCTATTTCATCGAAAGTAAGTAGTGCAATTGGCATAGCAATAAATGCATTAAGTTGCTTGGACTTCCTTTTTACAGATTTTCTAATTTTTTTTTATTACTAAAAAGTTGAATGCATGGCTTGATTGTGTTTAAATATTGAAAAAATAGTCATTTATTATGTTGCAATTGTTATACGTGCTCAAGAATTAGTTAGGAATATTCTGGTCATGCAAAATATAATTTCATCTTAACAAGTTAACTACAACTACAAGGGTATATATGTAGAGTTCGGGGAGTAAAGTTTACAAGGGGCCAAATTCAGAGGGAAAAAGTGCAGTTAATCCTAATCCTTTTTATCAGCTGCTGTTTCTTGATTTTATCATTTTCATTGATCCTTTTCTCTGTTGAATACTACTGCAGTCGAGCCAACTGCAAAACCAGGTGAATATGACATGCTTGTCAAACCATAAAAGTGGTTTTTACACATTGCAAAACCCAAACAATACAGCAGAACTTCAGAGGCTTTGTACTGTGCTTTGTCATTGAGTTCACATATATAGCACCAAGGAAAGCCATGATGGCATTATGCTCAGCTACTGAGGTATACAGAGACATCGAGTGAAGTATACCACGCAGCATATACTCTCTATACTTGCTCAGCAGCATATCGTGCTGTATAGACTCACGGAGAGTGAAGTATATGCATGTACCATGAGAACCAATGTAAGAAGATCCTATATATATATGAGCCTTCACTGAACAATTTCATGCAGCTCTTTCTGTCTTTTCCCACCCCTGACGCCCAAACAGGAAGCTGCTGTCAATCAACACGAGCATTTTGAGTTCTACTCAGGTGCTCCTTAACATTTCAGAGACTTCACCATCCATCTGCTATAGTCGTAGGATTTCTGTGTAAACTGTTACTATAAAACTGGAAGGGGGTTTTCCGTGATGAAACAATAATATAAGAGCTTATTTAAGCGCAGACCTAATTGTTTTATTTTATTTTATTTGTCGCCATTTTTTCCCCTATTAATTCATTTATTCTTCTCATCAAGAAGGGGTTTTTAAATTGGAGAATTCCCACTCACCTTTTACATTAAAAACAAGAGATATTTTGTTTAAGATCTTTTGCTCTATAGTACAGGACAATCCAGGTTTGGCTCAAATATATATATATATATATATATATAAGCTATGCCCCCTACCAAAAAAAAAAAAAAAAGGAAAAATTTATTGTACCTGAAAAAGGAATATAGTGTACTACAAGAAAAACAAGGCCTAAATTAATAACGATAATAGAATCCCAAATGTAAATAAATAAAAGAGGTGCACCAGTGGGCCTGATGTGCTATTCTTCCGACCGACTGAGCCGTGGACCAATTTTATCTGCTTTATTTCCTTTTCCCTTCTCTCATCTCATTGGGTATAAAAGGAAAAAGTAAAATACACGTAAGGGACAAATCTAACGCTCTAATCCGATACTTACATGCCCTGATCAGCAAACTGTTTCAGAGGTTGGAGATCAGTGACCTAGCATTCTTCTGTCAGAAGATAATAATAATTCCGCCAGGTTAGTTCATCATCTTCCATTTGGCTCCAATTTTCGTTTCGCAGAAGAACTTTCTGATTTTAAATTAGCAAAAGCTTCAACTTTCTGACTAGTGGTTGTTTAGTAATTTATTTGTTTCAATGTCTGGTGTGGAGATTAGGCTGATCAGATTAGCAGCTAAGTGTAACTTAGTCTGGGCTATTGCCTTTCTTTTGTTTCTCTGTGTCGAAGCTGTTAATTTTACCAGATAATGAAGAAAAGCTTGATTTTTAGAAAAATTTTGGTAACTATATTGAATTTTATCGAAAATTAAATCCGAGCATTCCTTCGGCCAAAAAGAAAGAGCAACTAAATTACTTGGCTTTCTGGTTGAATTCTAGATGCATGCTATTCTGATGATGCTATAGGGTTTTTGAGGATATTCTACTTTTGAT